CACCTCCATCCTAAGTGACAAGTACCTCGTACGGCTTCAGCTTTACTCCTTCCTGAACCAGTCACACGTTACCAGTGTACTAAAGAAGTGTTAGAAACCAGAAAAACAAAAGCACGTCTCCATGTTTTATTTTTTAAATTCCTTTTCAGTTCACCAGGCTAATTGCGTGGCTTTGCAGTGCTGTTTCGTCCAAAAGCATGTCACACACACACGCTTCAACCCCATTTTGATTGCGCTTGTGGAAACTTAGCGACTGTCGACATACATCTCAGGGATTCTCTTTGAAAAAAAGGAAAAAAAGAAGAAAAAAATGGTCATGAAAGAATGAGAGCATTTTATTGTACTGTATATATGATAGTATATGTCTGAATATTGAAAAAATGTATACGTTAACTAATTTATAAAAAGAATATTCTATGTAATGCAAAATACTTGAAGCTGCAGTACCTTGGTCTGAAATAAAACATATCAGAGGGACTAAACGAAACGCGAGCCTCGGGCTGTGTTCGGAACGGAAGGCTAGCGCGCGCGCGCTGCGTGGGAAACGGAAACGGTAGGCATTATTATTCCACGAGGAACGTTTCTCCTGACGTTGCATGTTTAATTCAGTTCGTCTTTTTCACATTTAATCTGCATTGCACAGTATCATCCGCAGTGCCAGTGCGCTAGCGTGCCTTTCCGAACACGGCCGCGCTGTCGGGGCTTGAATCGGGCAGTGAACCCGTGTGTCGGGTCTCTATGCTAATGCGCGATTCACGATCTGGGTCGAGTTAGCATTGGCGTAGACCCGAGGGCACCTGTGGTTTGGACGGACACCCAGTGAACCAGAGCAGCAAGCCTTAGCATTAAGAATTGGGAATGCAAGAAACGCAGGCCCACGTGCCTCAAAAAACGCCTAGAAATGTAGATCCAACAGTATCGATGTTAACGCAAACATGCCGAGCGATTGGCCTGACGCTCTTGTTTCTTTCCACAATAATCGAGTCACGACGAAACTCCATTTTTATGCACAATAACATGTACATGCCTATCTGCTGACATCTTAACTTTGTGCAAGACAGAAAGTTGCTGTGTAGGTCTGACTGTTCAAATGTTTTTTTTTTTTTTTTTTTTTTTTTACGTTTTGTCGTTCCTATAGGATTCCTCAACGAAACGAAAACAGCCTTCTTTCTTGCCTTGTCTTAACGCTTTAAAATAACCAAACTGGAGTTCTAACTACCAAACTTGTTCGTTAAAAATGAAAGCCAACCAACTTTGGTTACAACTTTACTGTCTTTAATTTTAGCTGAATGGTTCTGTATTCTGTGCTTTAAAAGCAGGTTTCCTATGTTTTTGGTGCAAAAACGTTGTCGAGTGTCCCCTTCCTTAGAGGTTTGTCTGTAGCTCTTTTTATTTTACTTTATTTTGTTCGTTTAGAAACAGAAATATCTTCTTTTTTTTTCATTTTATTTATTATACAAGGTAAACGATTGTACTTCACCCGTGTCAACATTCTCATGAAGTTGAATTTAAGATTTGATACACCGATATCAATTTATTTATGTAACTAAATCACTGTTTTATAAACTTGTTAATGATTCAACATTTTTGTTTTAATTAAAATTAGTTTTTTGAGAGGAAGCAAATCATTGAGTCGTTTGTGTGCATGACACATCACTGATTTTCATCTGTTTGGTGAATAAAAAAAGCATGCAAGATGATGCACGAGTCTAGATAAATGTATTATAATATATTTAATATATATATTATCAATATAAAATAAATAAAATGGACAAATCACAATAGACACAAATATGGAGCAAAATATACACAAATATGAATTGTATTTAAATAAATGGACACAATATATAGAAATATTGAGTAAATTAGTATATTCTATATATTTTTTAATATTGATATAATGACAAATATATTTTATAATTGAAGATATACATTTCCACATACCATCTTGCATGCATTTTTCCCCCCACCAAACTCATAATGCATTCTGGTCTTGCCTTATTCATGAATAATATTTGCAATATCTGAGAAGGCAAAAATAATAGTGCTGCTGACTGCATTTTTGAACATCCTTCACATTGGGAAACTTGTCTAAGACTTAAAAGGGTGTCAGCTCACAAGATTTGGAACAGATGCTATATGCTATATTTTAAGGAAAGTCTTAAATATTGTTTATTCAGCAAACCTTTCTGTGCTTATGAGTTAGATTAACTTTAGGATTTACAGTTTGGTCATTTCCAGATGCCAGTTCTACAAAGACTCGTCGCTCTTGTCTAAACTAAACAGGAAGTGGACAAACAGACTGCAGTGGGAGATTGAGACACTCGAGTTGCTCCTTCACACTTGGAGCGCAACGATAAGGTTGACCACTGTTACACAAGAACAGATCCTCTCACACTCGCCATTGCTTTGAGTGGCGAACTTCCAGGAATTACCAGCCAAGAGCTTCAACCATTGAGATGTCAAGAAGAACCACGTTAAATACTGCAGGAAGAACTCATTCTCACACTGATAAGGTGCTTAAGACTGTGAATTTATTTTTTGTGTTTTGATAAATTTACGATATGCAGAAAAAGAGTAAATGCCCTGATCTTAAAGGTGCCAGTTTTGGCCTACAAACATTTTTTTGCGGGTGAAATTCTTCATGTTTCTAGGAATCCATCGGGATTTTCGTGTGCGGGAATTAAGATTTCCCAGGTTCATTTGATCACATGAATTTGACCAACTAAATTAGTTGTATATTAGTAACTAAGTCCTCATTTTATGATCTCATCGCTATGTTATACTTTATCCAATGGTATACAATTAATAAGTTATAAAAAATCGACTGTTTAAGTTATCAAGTGACATACTTTTTTCAGTATAGACTAAAATAGTTAAAAACAGTCACAGCAGAACCATTGTCTCTGTGATCAACAAAGTTTTGTTCTTGAATAATTTAAGGTTTTAAACAGTCGATGACTCAATGACTTGTTCGTTAAGGCTTGCAGAAACCTTAGTAAATGCCCTGATCTTAAAGGTGCCATTTTTTTTCTTGAATGATTCCGGGTTTTTTTAACAAATCAGGTGAGTCAATGATTCAATGACTCATGAAGACTGATTCAGTGACTCGTAAAGACTGATTCAATGACTCGTAAAGACTGATTCAATGACTCCTGAAATGACTCATAAAGACTGATTCAATGACTCGTAAAGACTGATTCAATGACTCGTAAAGACTGATTCCGTGACTCGTAAAGACTGATTCAATGACTCGTAAAGACTGATTCAATGACACGTAAAGACTGATTCAATGACTCATAAAGACTGATTCAATGACTCATAAAGACTGATCTGATTCAATGACTCATAAAGACTGATTCATTTACATTTGAATGAATGAATCAATCAACCAATCACTCATTCATTAACACAGTGGATTGTTGCCACTTACTGGCAGTTTTATTTTCATAATGAACGTATACTTTAAAGCTGCAGTCCGGATCTTTTCCTCTTTGTCGCCATCTCTCTGTTCGAAATCTGTAACTGCAGTGATTCGCGGAATTATCATCTTTACGTGGGTTGTAAATCGGCATGAAACAGCGCGGATGAACACAGTGTTTTGAGGCGAGTGCTGCTGTCAGTCACCGCGCTGTGTGGATACTGTCATACAGAATCACAGATTCACTTTTTGAAAGTTTGACCAACATAAGAATTTTCATAAGAAAATGTCTTCTGAACAAGTAAGTAAAATCCATTTTTGTTCTGACCAACTAAGGGGGAAAAAGCATTCGACATGATAAGCTTCGTTAGATTTAATCAACGCGATTTACAGCAACCGTGCAAATTATAGCCTACTTTGTTCTCAAATTGTTCATGTTAACAACATCAGCATTGCGTGACTAATGATAAAAATTTAATATGTTTTATGGTTACCTGTGTAGTTCAGAATTCATATTCTCCATAATAGCAAAACGAGAAAGGCACAACAAAGGAAACTCCATAACTGTGTGAATTAAGAAAACGTACTGTTACACGATTGAACTATTGAAATGTCTTACTTGTTCAGCAGAAAAAAGCCGTCTCTTCTTCTGTTTTGAACCCCTTCAAAACACGGAGTACACGCACTTTTCAAAAGCCCCGCCGATGTTTAATCCTTGTGTTCGCATGAGACGGTTTCTTTCTCTTTCTCTAGCCACCTTAAATCCGAAGTACGAAGTCTTTTGGGTTTTATAACTGCTGAATCTCCAGTTGACACTGATGATTGTTGTTTGGATCTTTCTGGATCCGCCATAAGTTTAATTATGTAAAGTGCTGCGAGAAAAGCCTATACATCTAAACATCTCGTCACGCGCAGTATAGCCGGCTAGCCGAAACTCCTTCTTTATGTGTACGGGTGTGACGTAATGACGCAAAGACATGCTCGAATTTCCCGCGGAAACCCACCAGTACCACTGGAATTAAAATCATTATTACAAGCTAACCGTTTTGAATCTAGCTATGGCAAGCAGATAGTTTTGACCACTGGCAGAATAAGTTTTTTTTAATATAATTATTTTGGATTATTTTTAACTTAAAAAAGTTACGGACTGGAGCTTTAATGTCATATTTGTATATACGATGTCGATGTTTAATGAAAGCACCGTAGTTTATGCTGTTATCTCTACACAGTACTATTATTCTAACATGGGAAAAAATTACCCTGCCCCTTTTAGCTGGTAAAGCAACACAAGTGAATAGATAACTGAACAATTATGTTTTAAAATTATGCTTTTCTTGCTTTAGGCTGCAAAAACAACAGAGTTTTGCAGTTTTTCCACTTCTCTTCATCAGCGGAACGGACAGATGGGACGAAGACCCGTGCTGACCAGCGCTTTTCACTCTCATTTTGTTTCTGAGAGCACAGATGCACAGTCACTCCAAGATGGAGCACTTTGCCCAGACCATCAGCCCCTCAATACATTTGGAAGAACAAACTGTAATAGCCTCAGCTATAATTCCCATGAAGCATTTTCAGGCCTGTGAGGAGATCTGTTCCTGCCAAAGCGGTGCGGAACAGGAGGCCGGGGGTTCGGGGGAGAAATCCAAGTGCTTGAGTGAAGACAGTGACAAATTCAAGCTTTTCTGTGACTTCAGGCCTGGAAGAACACACTATTGACCACAGACACAGGACGAGGTCTTTAAAGAGGCCGTATTATGCCCTTTATCAAAGTCTTGATGTTGTTTTTTGGCTTGAATGTTGATTATTTTCCTCATATTCTCCATTGTTGCGGCTCCTCTCTTCCCAGTCTGTCAGTAACGCTCTGTTTAGTTCCTGTCTCTATGAAGCCCCTCCTTCTGAAAGCACACTGTGCTCTGATTGGTCGGCTGGAGCAGTGTGTTGTGATTGGTCGAGTGTGTTTGGGAAATGTCCCGGCCCATACCATAACCACCAGTTTAACACACTACTAACTAACTCAACCCGGCTCCGCCCCTTTATTCTGCGCATTAATTATTTAAATGAGGAATATTGTGACGTGTTCGTTCCTGGAAGAAACTCAAGACTACAATGGAGGCGTTTCAGGAGTTCAGAAACACTGACACTGATATAGAGAAGAACTTCGCAGAGCTTTTTTATACTCAAACAGCAACATTACACAAAACAGAATATAGGGCGTCTTTAAGAAAACCCATGCACTGAAACTCAAGCACTAATGTTAATGTTTGCTTATGTATAGCATAGAATATTAGCTTACTGCATATGGTATGGTGTAAAATAGTATGTGAAACAGTAGTTGTGTCCCAAATGATGCACTATACACTACACACTTATACTATGTGCTCAACCCTGTATAGTCAGTGTATGAATTTTTTTATCTTTTTGTATTGTATTTCTCTTTGTGTTAGTGAAATGCACTTTTTCTTTTTGGAAATTTCAGTGTGTACTCAAACTATTTATACTATAAATATAGTGAATAAGTATGCAAATCGGGACACATCAAACAGAAGTAGCCTATGCTTTATTGTTGTCCCATGACTTCACCATGTTGCATGTTTAATTCAACAACATCCAGTTAGAATCTCAGTAATATAATTTCTGATGATTTTTCATTTATTTTGTATTAGGGTTAGGGTAATTATAAATGTGCAATTAACACATTGCATAGTCATACTTCCTACTATTTAAAAAAACAGCAACTGCATATCACATTATATACACTGTTACCAACGCAAATAGTTTGTGAAACTTTAAGTTAACAAAGAAACTTTCTGTAAACTTTTAACTTCAAAAACAAGTATGCAAAGGTTTAAGTATGTACTATGTTGCATGTTTAGTTTCGCAAATATCCACACACACACGCACACAAAAAATTGTATCCAGTCTTATTTTTCATGGGGACATATGAGAAATATGAGAAATTTAAATTAGTTTTTATTCAAATCGTAAAATGTGCAAAAATACGTATGCCACTTGATCATATAACAGTTGATATCACGTCTGGTTTATTGATCAAATTGAGAGCATTGCATTATGGGATTTGGCTATAACATAGAGTGATCTGTTTGTATATATTGCATATTTTAGCAAATGTCGAAGGTCATTCCATGCATGCACAAGATCCACATAACATTAGTATGCCATTCTGAGCATTTTTTAAAAATGCATGTGGCTATAAAGAATTAAGTGGGTTTATTTGAAACCTTTCATTGCTCCTGAGCCACTGAAGAAATGTCCTTTTCTCCAGCTCTGAATGGCTGGATAAAGAGATACGGTATCTGTTGAGCGCTGTTCACTTCCTCCTCGGGAGGAAACGCTGGTTGTAAATGTCGTCTGTTGACATGTGTTGCTAACACTGTCGTTTAGTGCTGGGCAGTGGTCAACTTTGATCCTTTATCAGAAGACAACCAGACCCAAACACCCTACAATTACTGCAGAGCCAGCCGGGCCGGACAGAACCTCTTGCAGCCTCAACAGGAAGAACAATCCCTTAAACAATGAACAACTGCAGCCAGGAACACCACAACCTCCTGCCGCACACACACACACACACACACACACACTGGAAACTCTCATATGTCCCCATCAAATAAGACTGGATACAATATTAAACTTACTTTTTATCACAGTTAATTAAAACAACTGAACATGCAAAAGACACGAGAGTAGTGTTTTATATTTGTCACATCCGTGTGTAGTTTGACGTGCATGTTGCTAATCATTTTATGTTTGTGTGTAGAGTGCATTTTTGGAAGAGTTAAAATAGTTTTGAATGATGTGTTTGCTTTTGCAAGAGATGTCTGATGTTTTGCATGTTGTGTGTTTTGTGTGTATAGTTTCAAGAAATTGAGCCATAGCTTCAGAAAGTGCGTGTAAGCAATTTGAAAAAACTGTAAAACACAAAATCCCTAAAGGACATCATCGTCCAGGAAGTGACATAATTTTGGAGGGAAAACAAGAGTACTAGTAAGTATAAGCAAATGATTTGACTATTTACTGTGATATTTTGTGGTGTTTGTGTTAGGGATGCGCAATATATCAGCCACCATGCCGATATATGTTCATTTTTTAAGTTATCATTATCGGCCCGGTAAGGAAATTTGTCCGATATATTAAAGCCGATAAATAATGTATTATTTCCTTCAGCTGAGACTCTTCAGAAGCGCACTGTTCAACATGATGGTTTTGAATTGCTTGAAATATGATTGGAATCACTTCAAAAAGAAAAATACAGTTCAGTGCAACATGTCTGTCATATCGGCTACATAAAATTATAATGAGAATATTATAATTGTGTGCTTGGGACATGGATTTTAATGGTGAGACTTTTGTTTTTGTAATCAGGCTCTCAAAAATTACATAAAAAGTTTGGATTTAGATTTATCGGCCAATATATCGGTTATCGGCTTTCAAATATAAAGAATTATCGGTTATCGGTATCGGCCAAATATATATATTTTTCATTTCTGTACATCTCTAGTTTTTGTCCATCCTTTTTTTTAATCAAAGTTCAGAACTCAGTTTGATACTAACTTCATGATTACATTTAGCTCTTTATTTCCATCTTTTTTTAGTGTCATTTCTGTAAAGTTAAACAATCACGTTCTAATGAATAAAGTTTAAGCAGTGGCACGCACTTTAAACGCTGCCAAATGCTTTAGATTACAAGCATATTCATATTCTAAAAGGCACAGAATTCAGTCAATTCTGAATTAGAGGAATGATCTAACGACATTATTTTGGTCTGAGATCTGCTGTGTTCCAACAGAAGGCAAACATTCAAGGTTTCATACTGTTGGATCTTCACCACCTGGCCGGATATCTTCGGTGTTGTGCTTTGACAAAAAGAAAATGGAAGGAAACATTTTTGGGGAAAGAGGTTTGAGATGTTACGCCAGGAGTGTAAAGTATAGAACTGCGGTGGGAGACTGTTCAGAAGATTTTAAGAGATAATTGATTGATTAGAGCTTGCTTGTTTACAAAAATGTCATAAGAAAAAGATGGGGGGGTTATAAAGTTAGGAGCTGTTTGTTTTCCAAAAATGAAAATTATTTAGTTTATTTATTTGTATTATTTCATTGTAAATTAGTGGCCTTGTCATCATCTGCATGGTACAATCAATTCTGGATGGAATAAATCAAGTAATTTTTTCATCTAAATCATGTTTTGTTAGGAAATATGTCAAATTATTGAAGTAAAATTAACTGTAAATGCCATTTAATGTTAAAAAACGAAAGCCACCCCGTCAATGACATCATCGTCCAGAAAGTGACATCATTTTGGAGGGAAAACAAGAGTACTAGGTAGTATAAGCAATGGATTTGATTATTTACCGTGATATTTTGTGGTATTAAAATGGATTATAAATGGCATTTAATATTGAGAAAAGGAAAAATGGTCCTAACAGTAAACTATGACCCTTTTTAGGACAAAAACCTCAACTAACATTATAAGCACTCCTCGGGGGGAAAAAAGTAAACCTACAATGATTTTAAAAAGTGTATGATATGAGTGAGAGCTTCAAACTTTACTTTAACTGCAGAAATGAGCTGGTAAATGCCACTGGTCATAATGTGGGAGCAACAGAACGCACTGACCAATCAATACGCTTCACATTTTATCCAGTCGCCACCGTTTGCTCTTTTGGAAAAAAAAGTATTTCCATATGAGGGCTTTGAAGGCCACCTTTTGAACTTTCACATTCTCAAGATTTTCAGATCTCACTTTTCAATTATGCATGCTTTAACCTTTCATGCTCTCCTGTGGAAATCAGTGTCAGTTCTCTGTAATCTGTTTCTCACACAATTTGAGGGCTTTAAAACTATTCATTGCATTAAATAAAGCTTGAGTAGATAACGCAGACCCGACCACGTATGGCCCCGGTTATCAATCATGAGTGGGCCTACAGAACACAGAGCGTAATATGATCAAACCTGAACCTCGTCCTCCCCGCCGGTGTTTGTGTGTAATCTATTGAAGAGGATAATGTGCTGTTTTACCACACCGTCGCAGTAAAAGCCTGTCGGTGCTCTGAGCATCACAGTCATGTGTAGAAATCCTGTTGGATGAACACGTCAGTTGATTCGATCCGCTGCCTCGCACATGCACAAATAAACAAAACATGAATTTTTTGTGCTATTATGTGGTTGCTAGGGATAGGGCATTGCTAGGTGGTTTATATTGTGTTCTAGGTGGATGCTATAGGGTGTGAGTTGTTTTGATCATAATACAATGTGGTTGCAAGGTTAAATAGGCCTTATTCAGACTGAGCAGCGCCATGACAGGTATGGAAGCAAGGGTAGCTGTTTTCAATGTAAAAAGCTATAAAAAGCTCCTAGATCACATAATTGTCTGAAGTTTTTTTGCCCATTGAAATTTCCTGGAAAGATATTTCTGCAGGGTTTCGTCAGCAGAACAATTTAAAAACACATTAAATAACAGTATACAACCCACTGAATATATATATATATATATATATATATATATATATATAGAGAGAGAGAGAGAGAGAGAGAGAGAGAGAGAGAGAGGCCTATATCCCTCAAAGTCTCGCTTTGATTCCGTTGAAAATATAAAATGGCGCTGAGACCGATGAATACAGATATTCGTTTTATTCATTCATTCACACTGCCTCTCGATAATTGTCTCTTTAATAGTTAGTTTAATAGTTTTTCTAATATAAAAACCCCATTTTTATTACACTATATATCACATCCACCTTTTTTCACGTATAAGTCATTTATAGCCAGTTATTTTAGCTGTACAAAACAGCTTACTTCCGCGTTGAAAATAAGGTAGATACATCCAAAGCGTTTCAAGTAAATCATATTAACACACATATTAATAATCCCTTCCATGTGTGTGTGTGTGTGTGTGTGTTGCAGCAGGATTTCGTGGGGTCTCGTCACAGCACACTAAATCCCGGGATTTTCGCGGGCCGCGGGAGGTGTGTGAGGGGCGTACGGGATTAAATTAGGCACACCGGGGTTTATGGGAACCGTAAAACAGAGCAGGCAGGGATAGTATAACACACAGCTCACCTGAGCGTGTGTCCTTGAGAGATATAGGATTCCATAATCCCTGCGCCTCCCCCGGGAACGCCGGGAATGCGCCGTGAATTGATGCATCAGGCTTACAGTCCCACTCGCTCACTCCAGTCATGCTATGGATTTGCTGTATGTGTTGTGCACCTACATGCACACATGGATGACTGACAGGTGAGTAAATATATAGTTATTATGAGAAGGGGGGGGGGGGGCTAGTCTGCATTTCCTGGCTTGCTTTATGCAACTTCCAAGACCCTTTTTCCATGTCAGGCATATTTTCCAAAGTTTTCCATGTGGCTTCAGATCGTTGAAAGACACTCAAGTTTTGTTTAAGGCACAGGTTACCAAGTTATTCAAATCTTGTTGTAACGTGTAGTTTTGGTTTAGTTTCATGGTGTTTTAGTGTTCCCTGTTTGACCTATAGTTATGTGTGTGCCAGTTTGTTCCCATTAATGATTAGTTTCACCTGTGTTTCATTTAGCTCCCTTTGTTTTCCCTGTGTATAAGCCCTGAGTTTTCCTTAAGTTCCTCGTCCACTATTGGATGTTATGTTAGTTGTTTTGATGTATGCTTGTGTTAGTTATATATTTACTTATTCATTCCATGTCCCGTTCTTCCTTCCTTGGATGATACATAGCAGCCCGTAACATGTTCACTATTGAAGCTAAATCTAATATCCGATAAATCCAAATCCAATTTTTTTATAATATTTGAGAGCCTGATTACAAAAACAAAAGTCTCATCATTAAAAGCCATGTCCCAAACACACAATTATAATGATCATTAATGATCACCTTTTTGATTCCAATCATATTTCAAGCAATTCAAAACCATCATGATAAAGGAAATAATCCATTATTTATTGACATTTTTTTTATCGGGTTAATAACGATAATATTAAAAACTAACATATATCGACCGATACTGATATGGTGGCGATATATTGCGCATCCCTATACCATTAAACACATTTGACCGGTCAAATGCATTCTTTCTTTTGCAAATTCTTGCAAATTCCTGCAGAATTATGCAGATTTTTCCCTAAATTTGGTGCATATAAAGCTAAATCTATATCTGGGAATCATTGATACATTTTCTTACAGTTTTTTTTATTCGCTTTGGTACTATTTTCACAAGTAAGGTGGGTGTACATTTTCAAAACTCTTAGTGCTAATATCACAACAGATCATCAAAATTGCACTTTTTTCAAACATTTCATCATGTTTTCAATTGTGTTAGTACAATTCACAAAATCACAAAGTATCCTTTTCACAACACAAAATAAGTGTTTCATCTACATAACTGTTTCATTCACAGTAACTTCCTTTCATAAAGCTCTTATTATCAAACTTTTGATTTGCATCTCTTTTTGTTCAGTTTAATACATTTGTCTATTATTTAATCCAACTGATCTTAATGGTTAATCAATTAATCATTTGGTACACCTATAGATTTCTATAGATATTGATTGTATATACAGTTTCTATAACTTGTTTGCAATTTCCGATATGGATAACCAAATGTAATGAATTCTTTTTACTACATAAGTGATTTATAGATACAGTAATAACCACCACTATGTTCAAAGTGTGTGCACACGCATGTGTGTGTGAGTGAGGTACAGAGAAATTTGCTATTTGTGAAAACACTGTAAAGCAGAATAGAGTATAATGGAGAGGAAACGGTCAATGACTGTAAAACAGATTGATTAGAGATGCATCAGTAGAAGGGAGACAGATGGCATCAAATACAGCATTTTACATTACAGTATGTATGCCATGTGATACTGTAGACAGATTACCATGGTAGAGACTGCCACATTACTGTAACTCCGCCTTCATCTGGAAAGGTCCACTACAGTATATATAGATTCAGTCAAAGGCTATAGAGTGAACACATTTTGCCAGCAAACTCTGTTCTCGCACAGAACCTCATGGCTGTGTCATACTTCATCGCAGCTTTTGATAACTCACTGCAGATACTATTACAAACATTATGGATTCAATTACATAAGTTAGGTAATGCACGTGTATTTTCTAATGTGGCAACTGTAGCCTGTAATACTGTAATTATTTCAGCAACAAGGGTGATTTGAAACATGTATCTTGCATTGTTTGCTGTTGAATGAACTGATTGTTAAAAGTACTAAATTGAAAGAAGATCATACTGTTGTGTTTCTGTGATTAAACCAAACGTTCTCATTACATATTACAATAATCTTGTGTTCGAAACAATGATTATGTGGACTGAAAAATGTATAACTGTAATGAAAGCATGGGATCATGTTTTGAAAGAATGACTAGCTGTGTGTTACAAGTGTGATCAGTTTGGATTTTTGTACTAAGAGTTTTGAAAATGTACACCTTACTTGTGAAAATAGTACCAAAGCGAATAAAAAAAACTGTAAAATGTCTTAAAACCTTACAATAATTTAATGAAGTATAAGAATGGGTAGTTTATGATAAACGAGGGCTCATATCTGTAAAAAAGGTGCCCTTTAAGTTCATTAACTTTACTATTGACCCTGCGATCTAAAAATGTCAGCCTCCTCAACCTCCCCATGAGGGGAATTTGTCTGTGGTTGGCAAATTTGACTCTTTTTTTTTTCCTTTCGATACAGATCTAGCCTTCCCGTTCTCCCCTGGGTGTTGAGGAAACTTTCAGGCTGATTCGTCTGCTGGTGTTTGAAGCCATCGGGCCCTCGTTCCCATCGCCGGGCTTCAAAGACGATCTCGCCACAGATGCACCGTTAACCTGGAGATTTAAACAAGGTCTTTGCAAGTTCTTCTTATATCTAAAACATCTATCAGCATGTGATACATTGCACCAGGGTATTTGTGACCTTTTCTCTGGAGATGAAAGGCCCATCGCACGCTTTCATCTAAAGTAGCGGCGCTCTCAAGATTTGAAGCCACTGTCGCGTCGTATTTTTGAGTCTCCGGACAGGCGAGTGACGTCCTAACATCTCGACTTTAAAGCCAAATGAAAATGTCACTCATAGGAGCAATTGCTGTCCATAACGTTTCCATAAATGTCACTGCAGAGAAAGGGGGAAAATAATGGAGGATAATTAATGGACTTGGATTAATAATATCCTTTCTGCATTTTATTCACTAGATATTTACATGAGTGGCACTTTCAGACTGTGCAAAACCTGCTGACATGACGTTTTTGAAGTCTCTTCTGCTCATCAGGGCTATTTATTTGATCAAAAATACAGCAAAAATAGTGAAATATTATTATAATTTTAAACAGCTGTTTTCTATGTGAATATATAGTAAAGTGTAATTTATTCCTGTGATCAAAGCTGAATTTTCAGCATCATTACTCCAGTCTTCAGTGTCACATGATCCTTCAGAAATCACTCAAATATGAGGATCTGATGCTCAAGAAACATTTATTATTATGTTAAAAACAGTCGTTCTGCTACTTTTTTCAGGATTCTATGATGGAAAATAATAGAGAACTTGTATAGAATTTAATATTCAATGGAAAGTTTAAAAGAAAATCATTTATTTGAAATAAAAAATCTTTTGTGATATTATAAATGTCTTTACTGTTACTTTTGATCAATTTAGTTTGTCCTTGCTGAATAAAGGTATTAATCTATTTAAAAACAAATCGTACTGACCCCAAACTTTTGTGTATTTTTAAGGGTTACATATTTGTTCAGGTTTGTCCTCGTCCCCTCAACGAGCAGTTCAAAGTTTTAATAATTTGTTGTATTATCAAATATTATATGTTTTTTATTTATTTATTATAATGATAGATCTTTATTGTTTATATATAGTTAGACTTAAAAAAATAAATAAAAAAAAATAAATACAAAATAAAGTATATATTTTAAATTAATCCAAGCATTATCTGGAAAACTCATTAAAGATTTTCTAGAAATAATTTGAGAGTGAATCCGCCATCTTTCGTGTGTTCATTAGATGTAGAGAGCAGATGGTTGACAATCATTTGGACTCTTTGTTTTGACATTGTAAGGAAAATGTACAAGAATTTCCATAATGGTCACAAATGACTGTCTGTTTCCAAAGCTTTCACCTTAAAAACGAACGTATTTGTGCTTGGAGTCGATTGTTTTATTTGGGATTAATTGTGGACAAATTATGCGACATAATTTTTGGCCAGGCGGTCATACAAAGAAATTATACACACATGCAAAAACAAGAAAAACCCAACAAAATATTAATAACTGATTATTTTGTAGTTAATGTGAGCTTTTTTTTCTATTTTTGCATATAGTTAAATAAAACCTGTAGCTGTAGTTTGCCTTTTTTGCCAAATCATTTTGGCAGATAAATACCTCAACCAAGTTTAGGGGTTTTGTTCTTCCCTCATATTTAAAATATTTAGGAAAATAGTATTTTTTCTCCTCATAATTTGATGGTTTATTCAAACTTGTAGGGTCATTAAAAAGAAACATTAAATAATGCTAACACATCAACAGCTGATGAATGCATGTAAAATATACGAATGAAATCACTGATTTTTCATTAAATGGAGAATTCACTATTCACTATTAGCGGCTGATTCGCTATTTTTAGCAGTTCTTTTCATTATTAAATGAAATCAAGTATATTTACATATTCACCATCTTGGATCATTTGCTATATTGACTTTCCAAGAATCATATATGCAATGCAGACGTGCAAGACATCTTGAATCTAAAGGCCGCATTATTGGTGGCGTTTGCTATACGGAGAGCATAGTGTATATATAAATATATAATAAAAAAACTCCTCTGTAAAGCCACACTCTGTAACTCCAGAGAGACACTCTCTGATTTATATATCTCACAAAAATGCCCTTCCCTCACATCCCAAGTGGCTTTCTATAAATGCCTCATGAATACCACTTTTATTTTTATTTATGGGCCAGGGTTTTATAATTGAATAGTAATTAATACCGTCAGTCGCGAGCCCCGGCTCCGTTCTTTACATAGACGCTTTGAGGTGATGAATGGGGCCCATCTATTACACTACCTAACAAGGGCCGCTTCCTCGCGACGTTCCTGATTAAAGTATCGGGCTCATTTTCACACGAAAAAAGACCAGCTCTCAATTTAATTTAGAAATTGCCCCCGATAACGTCGGACCGTTCTCCGGCAACCTGACCACTCAGTAAAATAGATCTCTTGTAAGATTCATAATAGATGAAGAAGAATAGAGACCATTAATAAAACTGATAACTTCATTTAGGCATTGTGAATTCAGGAGCATTTTACCAGAGGGCCCCCATTACTTTTTATTGTATTTAAAGGAGATATAATTAATGTCCGTGATCAGTGAAATTCCGAAATACCTTGACAGAGCAGGTAATTATGGGTATGAGTGATCTTCTAATATTCGCTTCTGCTCTGTTCTGTAATTTTTCCTTTTTAATTGCATCTCGGAATGACATCACGGTAAATAATGCGAGGTTTAAACACTGATGTGTTCAACACGAAAACAAATAATGCCATTAGGAGAGGACGCCGTTACAGTTCACGCCGCAAAACAGAAGCACTGCCATTCTCTTTCTGCATTCATATAGTTTGAATATACTTTTAACTAGTGCTTTGATTTACAATATATATATATATATATGGTGGGAACACACACACTCACTCACTCACTCACTCACTCACACACACACACACACACACACACACACAAACACTCACTCACTCACTCACTCACTCACTCAAACACACTCACTCACACACTCAGACACTCACTCACACACACACACACACACACACACTCACACAAACACAGACACACCTTCATTCACACACTCACTCACACACTCAGACACTCACTCACTCACACACACACACAAACACACACACACACACACACACAAACACACACACTCACTCACTCACTCACACACACACACACACACACACACACACACATACACTCTCACTCACTCACTCTCACACACACACACAGTAAATACACTCTCAATCACTGAGACATACACACACACACTCTCTCACACACACACACACACACACACACACACAGACACACACACACACACACACACACACACAGTAAATACACTCTCAAACACTGAGACATACACACACACTCTCTCTCTCACACACACACACACACACACACACACACACACAGTAAATACACTCTCAAACACTGAGATATATACACACACTCTCTCTCTCTCTCTCTCTCTCTCACCCACACACACACACACACACACACACACACACACACACACACTTTATTTGCTTTTGTCATTTTATTAGTTTCTACCAGTATTTCGTTTTAATTGATTTTTATTTAATCAAGGGAGTTCAAGAATCAAATCAAGTTTTTAGCACTTAATTTAATTTAGTTTTTTTATTAAGTTTGAAGGTTTTTTTATGTAATATTTACATTTTATTTTATTTCAGCTTTATTTCAATTAACGAAAACATTTTTTAGTGAACAGCACTGTTTAAAACCAATGACATCCGTTTTCTCTTTTTTTTTCTTTTTTTTTACATTTTTACATGAATTTTGAAAGTTATTATACCCTATTATGTATTATACACTATCCAAAATAAAGCAGATCTGGCTTGTTGAAATTAAAAAAGGCTTTAGGTAACACAAAAATACCCAAAATAGTTGTACCCAAAATAACATATAATTTTGTAAAAATCTATTTTTTTTTTACATAAATGTTTATCTCTACCTGCTGCAGGATTTCCAATCCAGTGAGTCACATGACTTGTACGGCTCAGGTGATTGGTTCAAACTGAAGCAAAGATGGCTGCATATATAGCACATAGTTCAGCTGAGTGACTGCTTTGGTAACTAGACCCTCTCAGCCAATCAGAATCCTCCTATCACTCAAGAGAAGCACAAAAGCAGAAACACACACATTAACCTGACAGACAAGCACTTTCTATGACCACGAAGAGCTGAACGCACATCAAAACACTCTGTGTGTCATTGGCAGGGGGCCATTTTGTGTATATTGTTCTCAACCTTCCTCCAAAACACAGAATCACACACACACACACACACACACACACTCAATATATACTGTGTAATGACAGCATTAGCGCAGGCAGCGCGGGCGAACTAAAAGCCACCACTTGTCTTTCCGTTTTCCGCTCGTCTCTGCTGATTATTTTGCAGTTTGTTTCCCTGCTTGAGCTTCTGAAGTGAGGTGTGAGCCACCGAGACAATGAACACCTTCTGTTCCGCTCCACCTGTTCAGTGACAGGCAGCCGAGCAGGTGTGTGTGTGTGTGTGCGTGTGTGTGTGTTGTAGTAAAAATGCGGAGCGGCTCCCAGGTGACAACACACTGACACACATACACACACACACACACACACACACTGGCACACTTTTAACATCTCAATTTAACCTCCTTTATGCACAAACTGGAGCATGTTGAAACGAGGGCCTATTCGGTCCGTTCTGTGCTTTAGATGTGACATTGGTGGAGTATATACACAGTACACTACTTCCGTTTGAAAAAAAAAAAATTATTCATCGTTAAATTTATTAAAAGTGACAGTAAAGACATTTTATAATGTTACAAAAGATTATATATCAAATAAATGCTGTTCTTTTGAGCTTTCTATTCATCAAAGAATCCTGAAAATAAAGTGTTTCAGTTTCCACTCAAATATGAACTGTTTTCAACATTGATAATAATCATAAATGTTTCTTGAGCATCAAATCATCATATTAGAGTGATTTCTGAAGGATCATGTGACACTGAAGACTGGAGTAATGATGCTGTACTTGTTTTGCACAGGAAAACAGAGGAAGAACATCATTTTTTGCAGTGTTTAAACATGTTTAGTTTCACTACTTCAAGTTCATACTTAAGTAGGTTTAAGTATATAAGCTTATAAGTAAACTTTATGTAATATTTATACTAATATAGTACTTCTAAGTGTACAATTTCAATACTACTTGGTACTATTGGCCCACTTTTTAGTGTATACAAGTATTCTTTTAACTGTAGTACACCGTGAGCACACAACTAGTTTACAACTGTTTTTTTGTTTGTACTGCAACTATACAAGTGAACTTACAGGTATACTGATAGTTTACTAATCAAATACTTGTAGCACGTGTTTTTTTAGTTTATGAAAGTAAGTACACTCTCAGTAACTACTTGTTTAGGATAGTTTTCTTTATGTGAACATGACATCATACTTATAGTTTACTATTTATTATTTTTGCACTTTAAGTATACTACTTTTTTTTTTTAAGTCCCCGTGTAGTCAATCATTTTATCCCTTAAAACTCATATTTGATCACCAAAATCACATATTTAAACATTTAAAAAAATGTCTTTATGCCTTAAAATATCTTGAATGTAACTCGACACCCTTGCCTCATTTAGTATACGCGGTTCTATG